AAAAATATGTTCTGCAATTGAGTAAAAAGAGTCATTTCATATAAGGAAGAGGGATGTATAAGTACTCTCCCACACATTGGGCTTACTAAGATTTGTCAACTGTCTACCAAATAATATTTTACAATAATAAAATGAGTACTTGTGGCATGGTTGCCAATGAGATAGCTTTGTACCAGAGACCAAAGGACATATGGATGAGTACTGAAAATTGTCTCTTGTCTTCTACATCAGGAATACTGATGTAAGCATTTTTTATCGTAAAATTCTTACTTACAGATTGTGGTTTGAAAGTATATTTCTTTCCTAGTAAAAATTTATATCAATTTCTGGTACCTTTCTAACAAACTTTTGATATGCCTTCATTCATTTTATTTTTAATGTTTTGCAGCTAGAGTTATTATTTCAAATTAGTCCGTGTTCAGCGGCAAGTATTACAATGTGATTTGGATGAGAACAAAAGATGTATATCTTGAGGCACATACTGACCCATAGAATAAAGAGAATAAGGAAAGACAGTAAAAAACAGGAAATATTTGAAAGGGTAAACATTTCTTTTTTAAATATAATAGACTGATTTATAATGATCTAATTAGATTTCATTACTGTGATAAAAATTTATGTTAATTTCCATCAGGAAATTGGTATATCTTATTTCATATTAATTGGTACAAAATATGCTTTACAACCAAAAATAGTGTATAAAATTTCAGAAAAATAGTGTGTAAAGTAAACAATGTAAAAATATATCATGTTCTGCAATTGAGTAAAAAGAGTCATTTCATATAAGGAAGAGGGATGTATAAGTACTCTCCCACACATTGGGCTTACTAAGATTTGTCAACTGTCTACCAAATAATATTTTACAATAATAAAATGAGTACTTGTGGCATGGTTGCCAATGAGATAGCTTTGTACCAGAGACCAAAGGACATATGAATGAGTACTGAAAATTGTCTCTTGTCTTCTACATCAGGAATACTGATGTAAGCATTTTTTATCGTAAAATTCTTACTTACAGATTGTGGTTTGAAAGTATATTTCTTTCCTAGTAAAAATTTATATCAATTTCTGGTACCTTTCTAATAAACTTTTGATATGTCTTCATTCATTTTATTTTTAATGTTTTGCAGCTAGAGTTATTATTTCAAATTAGTCCGTGTTCAGCGGCAAGTATTACAATGTAATTTGGATGAGAACAAAAGATGTATATCTTGAGGCACATACTGACCCATAGAATAAAGAGAATAAGGAAAGACAGTAAAAAACAGGAAATATTTGAAAGGGTAAACATTTCTTTTTTAAATATAATAGACTGATTTATATTGATCTAATTAGATTTCATTACTGTGATAAAAATTTATGTTAATTTCCATCAGGAAATTGGTATATCTTATTTCATATTAGTTGATACAAAATATGCTTTACAACCAAAAATAGTGTATAAAATTTCAGAAAAATAGTGTTTAAAGTAAACAATGTAAAAAAATATGTTCTGCAATTGAGTAAAAAGAGTCATTTCATATAAGGAAGAGGGATGTATAAGTACTCTCCCACACATTGGGCTTACTAAGATTTGTCAACTGTCTACCAAATAATATTTTACAATAATAAAATGAGTACTTTTGGCATGGTTGCCAATGAGATAGCTTTGTACCAGAGACCAAAGGACATATGGATGAGTACTGAAAATTGTCTCTTGTCTTCTACATCAGGAATACTGATGTAAGCATTTTTTATCGTAAAATTCTTACTTACAGATTGTGGTTTGAAAGTATATTTCTTTCCTAGTAAAAATTTATATCAATTTCTGGTACCTTTCTAACAAACTTTTGATATGTCTTCATTCATTTTATTTTTAATGTTTTGCAGCTAGAGTTATTATTTCAAATTAGTCCGTGTTCAGCGGCAAGTATTACAATGTGATTTGGATGAGAACAAAAGATGTATATCTTGAGGCACATACTGACCCATAGAATAAAGAGAATAAGGAAAGACAGTAAAAAACAGGAAATATTTGAAAGGGTAAACATTTCTTTTTTAAATATAATAGACTGATTTATAATGATCTAATTAGATTTCATTACTGTGATAAAAATTTATGTTAATTTCCATCAGGAAATTGGTATATCTTATTTCATATTAATTGGTACAAAATATGCTTTACAACCAAAAATAGTGTATAAAATTTCAGAAAATAGTGTGTAAAGTAAACAATGTAAAAATATATCATGTTCTGCAATTGAGTAAAAAGAGTCATTTCATATAAGGAAGAGGGATGTATAAGTACTCTCCCACACATTGGGCTTACTAAGATTTGTCAACTGTCTACCAAATAATATTTTACAATAATAAAATGAGTACTTGTGGTATGGTTGCCAATGAGATAGCTTTGTACCAGAGACCAAGAGACATATGGATGAGTACTGAAAATTGTCTCTTGTCTTCTACATCAGGAATACTGATGTAAGCATTTTTTATCGTAAAATTCTTACTTACAGATTGTGGTTTGAAAGTATATTTCTTTCCTAGTAAAAATTTATATCAATTTCTGGTACCTTTCTAATAAACTTTTGATATGTCTTCATTCATTTTATTTTTAATGTTTTGCAGCTAGAGTTATTATTTCAATTTAGTCCGTGTTCAGCGGCAAGTATTACAATGTGATTTGGATGAGAACAAAAGATGTATATCTTGAGGCACATACTGACCCATAGAATAAAGAGAATAAGGAAAGACAGTGAAAAACAGGAAATATTTGAAAGGGAAAACATTTCTTTTTTTAATATAATAGACTGATTTATAATGATCTAATCAGATTTCATTACCGTGATAAAAATTTATGTTAATTTCCATCAGGAAATTGGTATATCTTATTTCATATTAATTGGTACAAAATATGCTTTACAACCAAAAACAGTGTATAAAATTTCAGAAAAATAGTGTTTAAAGTAAACAATGTAAAAAAATATCATGTTCTGCAATTGAGTAAAAAGAGTCATTTCATATAAGGAAGAGGGATGTATAAGTACTCTCCCACACATTGGGCTTACTAAGATTTGTCAACTGTCTACCAAATAATATTTTACAATAATAAAATGAGTACTTGTGGCATGGTTGCCAATGAGATAGCTTTGTACCAGAGACCAAAGGACATATGGATGAGTACTGAAAATTGTCTCTTGTCTTCTACATCAGGAATACTGATGTAAGCATTTTTTATCGTAAAATTCTTACTTACAGATTGTGGTTTGAAAGTATATTTCTTTCCTAGTAAAAATTTATATCAATTTCTGGTACCTTTCTAACAAACTTTTGATATGTCTTCATTCATTTTATTTTTAATGTTTTGCAGCTAGAGTTATTATTTCAAATTAGTCCGTGTTTAGCGGCAAGTATTACAATGTGATTTGGATGAGAACAAAAGATGTATATCTTGAGGCACATACTGACCCATAGAATAAAGAGAATAAGGAAAGACAGTAAAAAACAGGAAATATTTGAAAGGGTAAACATTTCTTTTTTAAATATAATATACTGATTTATAATGATCTAATTAGATTTCATTACTGTGATAAAAATTTATGTTAATTTCCATCAGGAAATTGGTATATCTTATTTCATATTAATTGGTACAAAATATGCTTTACAACCAAAAATAGTGTATAAAATTTCAGAAAAATAGTGTGTAAAGTAAACAATGTAAAAATATATCATGTTCTGCAATTGAGTAAAAAGAGTCATTTCATATAAGGAAGAGGGATGTATAAGTACTCTCCCACACATTGGGCTTACTAAGATTTGTCAACTGTCTACCAAATAATATTTTACAATAATAAAATGAGTACTTGTGGCATGGTTGCCAATGAGATAGCTTTGTACCAGAGACCAAAGGACATATGAATGAGTACTGAAAATTGTCTCTTGTCTTCTACATCAGGAATACTGATGTAAGCATTTTTTATCGTAAAATTCTTACTTACATATTGTGGTTTGAAAGTATATTTCTTTCCTAGTAAAAATTTATATCAATTTCTGGTACCTTTCTAACAAACTTTTGATATGTCTTCATTCATTTTATTTTTAATGTTTTGCAGCTAGAGTTATTATTTCAAATTAGTCCGTGTTCAGCGGCAAGTATTACAATGTGATTTGGATGAGAACAAAAGATGTATATCTTGAGGCACATACTGACCCATAGAATAAAGAGAATAAGGAAAGACAGTGAAAAGCTTGTAATATTTGATAAGGTTAATATTTTTTATCGAATAGGCAGATTGTGACCTAATTAAGATTTATAAACCCTTAGATTAAGATTTATATGAAAATAAGATGTGGTATTATTTCCAATAATACAGCTTTTTCCATACTAATTCTTACATATTTAAATAGTGTTAAAGGTTAAACAGATATTTAAAAGATAGGGAATCGCAGTCCAAAATAGTATTATCATTGTATGTTTCACAAATTATGTCTTATTTAATTATCTATGCTGGTAAAATTATAAAATTTTAACTGGTTAGAGTCTTAACAAGTGGTGATTGTGTACTTTTATCAAATTTACTCCCTCTGAAAGATATTACAGAAATAAGATGCATTATTTTTAAGATGTATATCAGGGAAATGTAAAGTAATTAAATATGAGGTTAAAACAATTCACCTATGTCCTTAAAAAATATGTCAGATTTCAGGTAAAGGGGAAATAACTCTTACAATATCAAAACATTTAAAATGAGTACTGTAAGAATAATACATTATTTTAACATGTATATCAGGGATATTTAAATTATTACAATATGATTTTAAAACACATTACCAATGTCCATAAAGAGTGCATGTCAGATTTTTAGGTCAAGGGGAAATAACTCTTACAATATCAAAATATTTGATTGAGTAATATAAGAGTATTATATTGTTTTTAACTTCAACAAAATGTTTTTGCATACAGTATGTTTATTTTTTTTATATCGAGAATAAATAATTAGATGTTTATATTTTTTATATTCTCAGCTTAAACAGAATATCTATCCAGCACTTGAAACTATTTTTTTCATCAAATTAGCATGAAGTTTTATACTTTACAGAAGTTTCATTCATTACTGTGCAGTCAAGTACTTGGATTTATTCTGAACATGAATTGAAATTGATCAAGAACCAGATTTCAGATTGTGGTAATGGTAAGTAAATGTACCCAACTATGTTTTTAATATACACATACATTAAAATGAATATATGTTAAAACTTTCATCAAGCAGTTAACAATTGTTTTCATTCAGAAAAACAAAAGTGCAAAAAAGAATAAGTTTGGGATTGAAACACATGAAAAGTAAGTAGCATAAATATCATGTAAATTATAATATATTGATTCTCAAATTTTGCTCTGTGATTTAGAAATTTAATTCCTTCAAGCACTGACTCAACATAGGACTTGAGAAAATGGTCAAACACATAAACTATTTGAAAAAAAAACTGTCAACATGGGGCACACAAACTATTTGAAAAAAAAACTGTCAGCATGAAGCACACAAACTATTTGAAAAAAAACTGCCAACATGAAGCACACAAACTATTTGAAAAAACCTGTCAACACGAAGCACACAAACTAATTGGAAAAAAAACCTGTCAACATGAAGCACATAAACTATATGAGAACACTGTCAACCTGAAGCACATAAGCTATTTGAGAACACTTACAACCTGAAGCACACAAACTATTTGAGAACACTGTAAACCTGAAGCACATAAACTATTTGAGAACACTGTCAACCTGAAGCACACAAACTGTTTGAGAACACTGCCAACCTGAAGCACACAAACTATTTGAAAAAAAAATGTCAACTTGAAGCACATAAACTATTTGAGAACACTCAACATGAAACACATAAATTATTTGAGAAAACTGTCAACATGAAGCACACAAACTATTTGACAATACTGTCAACCTGAAGCGCACAAACTATTTGAAAAAAAACCTGTCAACTTGAATCACATAAACTATTTGAGAACACTGTCAACATGAAGCACATAAACTATTTGAGAAAACTGTCAACATGAAGCACATATAGTATTTTAGAAAACTGTCAACACGAAGCATAAACTCTACTTGAGAAAACTGTCAACATGAAGCACATAAAAAGCCCATATGAAATATTTAAATTAAATTTGGCCCTGTCACGTTGGCCACTTTACTGAGTGAAGAGTTTCCAGTTGATACCGCGTTGAGGTGTGACTTGGACTTGGTCAAATTAACCCATTCATCAACCTTTTTTTTTTTTTTTTTCTTTCTTCATAATGAAAGAAGTTTTTTTTTTTTATTAAAAAAGTGGAATTAAAGATTACAGTGTAATTGTAAATATGAGCACACAATACAACATTACTTATTAATACTGACACATACTGTATCTATATTTTTTTTATACGATTCTCACCAACTCTGCTAGTACAACAGATATTGTTATTTATCAGTTAAGTCGGAACTGTTATGTAAATGAAATCATTCTCACCAAAAATAATATTGGAATATTCTGCTTTCAGAATGTGAAAACAGATGAATTAAAGTGTATAGCTACAACCTGCTGAAAGATGTTTTGCTGATACATGTGATATGGGATATTTGGAACTAAAATTGTTTTTGTAAAAATATCATTATTTGAATGGAATTATTTCAAACAAGTGTATTAAAATCTGTGATGACAGTTTGTAAATCTGATTCATCCAGTTCAACTAAATTAATGCTAAGATTCTCAAATTCAAGAAAAATGTCATTAAATGTCATATTATCAGAGTCAGTGTCTGATTCGGAGTCGTAAAGGTGTTCAACTAGGGTTTTCTCGTTGGGTTGTTGGATATTTGCATCACCTGAAGGTAACATTGTAGGGCTATTTGAATTTAAACAAGACTGTCCACATTTACATCCAGGACCACATGACTTTTTTTGCTTTCTACATCCACACTGATTGCCACTACAATTAGATTTTAAACACCCACACCCAGCTGTCCATAATTTTATATTGTTTGATATTTTTTCTAAATTTTCATCAGAGTCCCAAACAATGCTTAGTACATTTTTTTCAATCTTCCATCCATGGTCATTCAAAATTGGATAATGCACAAAATTTTGATTAGCTTGCTGCCATACAAGTTTAACCCATCAAGATCTTTTCCAGTGTAAGAATAAGGCATCATTTGATGGCAGGAAAAATTCTTCAGATGGAACTCGACAGTACAGTGCATCTCTAATTTTTGAAAGCCAAATAAAGTGATTTTCTAACGGGCTTAATGTTTCTACAAAAACAGATTGAAATAAATAATGAGGAGATTCGATCCTATCCTTTAAGAAGGCAGAGGAACATTTCCTCCAATATTCACACCCAACTAAACGTAAAAAAGCAAGAAATCCTTCATTTTCTGTGTTATCACTATCACTTAATATTCCCAACCACCCCTTTACAAAATTATTAGAAGTAATAAAATCTGGATATTTGAAAAACATCTGATAGAAAGAAGTTTTACCATGGTCCCAAAAAAAAGATACATAATCACATCCAGTAACAATATACAACATCTGAAAAATTGATGGTATATTGTCATGAATGTCGTTTGAAATGCATTGTAAATCTGGATCATTTTTCATGGAATGAATAAGCTTATTCATGTTTAAATATATGACATCCTTCTTAAAAGTAAGTTGAACAAAAACCTGTTTGTCTAAAGTTTGTATAAATGGTAAACCAATGTTGTATGTGTCATTGTCTGGCGAATTAATAAGCACAGTATCACACAAAGTTTTTTCAGCGTGTAACCATACTCGACTGTCCCCCTCTGATATATTAGTTTGAAAATTCTTGATTATTCTTATCTCATTTTGGACAACACATTTTGATATAGACGAATTGTCAAAACCACCACCAACTACAAATGTTTGACTTAATTTGATTGCATTTTGTGAAAGTAATAAAAACTGTTCACTTATTAATAAAACCAGTTGTTTTTTGTTGTTTCTATTTGTCAAAAACTTCACCCAGTTCGAGGGTAGTTTGGAAGATTCGGTAAAAGAAACACCAGATGTATTTTCATTTTTTAAATCACGTCTGTTTCGCTCAATGTCCTTTGGGGAAAGCTGAGGGGACTGATCATCAAAAACTAGATGCACTTCAACTGTATTATTATTATCAAAATAGGGTAATATGCATTTTTTGTAAAGGTAAATAATATAATCAGTAAAAGTTTTATGTGAAGATAACAAGGGTTTGGTATGTAAAATAAACATCCAATCTATAACTACACATTGAGGAGTTTCATTTAAATTATTTGTGAAAGAATCTGGGTATCGTGAACGGAAAATTTTAAAAGTTTTTGATTTGTCACCTTTATATGGTAAGCCATCAGCGTCAACAATGGCTTTCGGTAAAGCAATAAATTGTTGAAGATCTGAAACTGGTATGTTTTGATTTTTTGACCAGGAAATTTGTTTCCTTAGTAACGAATTTTCTAAACGTTGATCTTTTAACTCTTTTTTAACATAAGAAACAGTTTGTGGTTTAAATGAAAATCCAGTAATTTATTTGGTTTTATTATATCTAAATTTAAAGTCAGTCATACAAGATTTTATGTATGTCATCAAATGAGTAGTGGCTACATTTTCATATGATAACAGGTCATATTTTTGTAATTTTGTTAGAATTATTTTATCATTGAAAATATGTGATAAAGTTTTGTGCTCAAATTGCACTAAATGGCTTTGCCTGAGATTCTGTATATACAAAAGTATGTTTTCTTCTTCAAAAGTTGTCCTAGTAACTGCAGTTTTGTGAATGTCAGGCTTATTGAATGAAATTTCTTTTTTTAAGTTTGTTAGCACTTTAGCTCTATGTGGAAGATAATGAACCAGTTTTGACAATGCAGCAGAGGAAAAAGTTCTCATTGCACCCTTAACTTCACGATTTATACAACTCTCGTGTGCTTCATCCAACCCCTGACTATGAATGTTTCTGCCAGATATGTTCACAACAAAAGCACCTTCTTCAAACTTTTTTATTATGCCAGCTGGAAAATTTTTCAAGTCGGCTATATGATATGGTAAAAGTCGGGCATAATATTTGCTTTCAGTAATTTGGGTAATTTTGGTCACTTCTTTAATACAAAAGTTACGAAGTTCCCAGTTACCAGAACGTATGGCAAGGAAATACACAATGTAAGTAAAGCAGTGCTTACTTAAAAATGTATTCCAAAATCTCCAGTTTTCATTTTCCTCACAAAGCTGACCCAATAATTCTTTATATTCAAATGAAAAATTTTGGAAAAATTGCATTTCTTTCTGTATTTTCTCTAGAAGGGAAAGTGTATCATCTGATAAAATATCAGATACTCTTTTAATATGAATAAAATTGTCATTTTGTTCATGATTAAAATGAAAATATTTAATAACAGTTTCTATTTGAAAACGAAAAAGTGATTCCCAGAACTGCAACAAAAATTCATGCGTTTTATCAAAGTTCACAGCCTGTATAACAGAATTTGCAGTTGCACCTTGATGGAAAATTTCAATGAAATCTTTGAGACCAGCATCAAGATACAACTTCATAAGCATCCTCTGATAATTTTTTAGTATGTGCCAGTCGCCTGGAAAAGGGAGGACCCAATCAAGTTCCGATCCATATTCCCCTTTGAGTTTTACTAAGAGCTCATAGGTCTTTCCATCACCAACAACAACTAAATGGTTGATATCCTGACCGACATTTAAATTTTGATGAAGTATCTCTAATGAATGTTTGACAGTATCTTTATTGTCACATTGTTCGTCTAACAATGACAGATATTTTACCTCAGATTTTTCAATTGGAGTATTGTTAGTTTTTTTACTTATAAAATCTTGAATACCAGGGGATTGTGAATGGCTATTTGGACAGGGCAGTTTACAAAAACAATATTCGAAAACAGTAGAAGCAAAGCTTTGGGCAACTGCAATTTCATTTTCTGATTTTTCAAAATCATTTTCATTGAGTTTTTTTTAAATTAGATTCCTGTCTGTTATTATTGGAATGTTCTAGAGTAACTTTATTAACAACATTTTCTAAATTAATTATAGACTGATTAAAGAAATGAAGATCTTCTGGTTTTCTTTTTCTGTTTCGAGCAAATTGCTGAATTTCAGAATCTTTCATTACTTCAGCGCAAATGGCTGAAATACGGGACAATTTTTTATGAAAACAATTATACTTTCTGAAATCTGAAACATCAGTTATATTCTTTGACATGAGAAAAATACCACTGTCAAAGTATAACCTATGATTTATTAAAGGACAATATTTTCCATCAACCTCCATAATGTGGAAAGAATGATTGGTTAAAAACATGGGATTTATTTTCTTCTTGAGGTGTAATTGATTTTGGTTTAAGGGATTGTTTGTGTTCATTTCATAGATATAAATACAGCAACCTGTAGCAAATGATACAGCAGCTAAATCTACTAAATCTGCCTCTCTTCTGGTATTAAAAAGATACAATTCATGGTTTATGTGCTCATCTGGAGAATATTTTGAAACTTTAGAAAAGTTTTCATCACTTAAGTAAAAAGGATCTGATAATATTTCTCTCAGAGATTGATCCATTACTGTATTTGTTAGGCAGTTTTCCATAATTTTTTCAATATCAGAAGTGCAAATACCATCATTATCTCTTTCAGATGTAAGTATACCATAATTCATCAAAATGGCAATTGATTTGTAAAGGGAAATAACTTTGGAATCATTATCTTGAAATAAATTGATGGAACGATACTCATCTTTACCATACAAATATATATTTCCTTTTAAATACTGTTGCTTTTCCTCTGGCAATAATTCTTTTGAAGGCTTCGGTATAACCAATTGTCTTGAGGTTCCATCAAAACCACGATGTGCATCTGTAGACTTAACAGCAGAATAAGATGATCTTTTATTAATATTATCTACAGATGCTATTTGGAACTGACATTTTGAGGAATTTACTGAATTGGATTTCCTTTCTTCAACAATTTGAGTTTGATATCTCTCATAAGTCTGTTTAGAAACGCATATACCAAATTTATTTAAAAGGTTGAAGCAATCAGTAGAAGAATTGGTAAACTTGTCAATGATGTCAGCTATTAACATTTGAAATTTGTTACATTTAGAATCTCTGTTGTAGATTAAACAACAACAAATATTAAAAATTTGAGAAAACTGAACAGAATCATCACTTATTGAATTCTCCCCAAAAGGAAGCTGTAATTCTGTTTCTTGTCCTATTAAGGCACACAAGAAATTCCACAATATTGGGTCAATAGTATTTTCTATGAAGTTGTGGAATTTAAAATTTGACAAGTTTCTATTTGAACTATTTTTAATATTTTTACAAGATGTTTGTATTTGTAATTTGATAATTTCTGCAGCATTTTTCAAAACATTTGCATCATCAATTTGTACTTTTTCTTCAAGTGTATTTTCATCATGTGAAGTACATGTTTTAAATTTCTTCAATTCAGCTAATGAATCAATAAGACAGGAAACAATATTAAGTCCTTTCATTAGTATTATAGTACCTTGTCGGTCATATTTACAGTTGATGGAATCACCGAATAATGTGTTTAATTTGTTACATAATAAACGGTTTTGATTTCTCAACTGATCTGAGACAAAATTCCCCCCAAAATCTTTATAACACTGCACAATGTCTGAAATAAGAAGTGCCTTTCTCTCCAGAAGATCATTGCAAATTTTAATAACAAGTTTTTCAAAACATTTAGTACTATTATTATCAAAATAGATTGGAAGGGAGCTGTTACTGGCTTTTGTCAAAATGTCTATGATCTTTTCACGGCTTAATATCTCAACAAAAGCATCACACTATCAAAAAAGTTTGTTATAGAAGAAAAACATTGTTTGCATATATCTGAATTTTTAGATAAATCAACAGGGGTCAAATTTTTGTCTTGAAAGTAGTAAAGTAATTTGTCCATCTTGTCAAACCTCAATTTGTATTTTCTCTTTAAAATAGAGTTACAGATTGTGCATTTGTCATGTGAGGATTCAAACCTTGTAGCCTTCATAAAATGGGAATCACAAAGAAAAATCTCAAATCTTTCATAATCAGTCATATTTGTGTCAAAAACAGAATTTATTTTATCAAGAGAAATGGGCGAGGGACGTAAATGAGATATGTCAGGGGAGCACATCTTTAGAGAATGTACTGTACATTGAACCTTTTTCTTTTTAATAATTGGTACATCTTGCTCATTTCTCTTGCTACTGGCTACTCTCTCTGACTTAAGAAAACAAGCCTTGCAAATACAGTCATTTTCAATAAGTCCATATTTTTGTTGTATATAATTTATAGCTATGTCAGATTGTTCATTTTTTACCAAATGGCGATAAGAATAAATGCTGTGTTTTTGGCATATTCTGCATGGACCACATTCTCTTTCAGGGTGAAAATTTGAACCTTTAACACCCCCCAATCCCGGTTGATATAAATCAATTTTCAGACCATCTTCACAAATGACTGGCTTCATGGTGGATAATGTGAGACCATTTTTTAACCTAAAATGTTGTTGTTTTTTTTTTTATTCCAGTGTGTTTTTCAACAAATGATTTGAGGCTTGTTATTGATATAGTTTTATGGAATGTATTAAATGTTAGAGATTTACCAAAGGCTTGGATATGAAGATTTTTTCTTTTATCATTTATATTATGAAGTCTGTGATTAGCTGGAATTATGTTTTTCTTTTCATGAGGAATTTCTCCTGGTTCATGCATTTTATCATAATGACAGTTTTCTTTCATGTCAGAGATTGATAATAAATCAAAGAAATTTTTTGTATAAACTGTGTAAAAGTCAGACACAGTACTACAAGTATTCATGTTGATTTTGGGAACATATTTTAAGCTGCTACAAATATTAGAAACTGGACACAGCTTTGCAGTAGTACAATTTTTAGCCTTTGGTCTCAAAATTTGTTTTGAATTTCTGTTAGTTTCTGTT